ACCTAGACCATTCCTGACGGGTGTTTGTCCAACTTGTTCTTAAAAACCTCCAGTGATGGTAATTCCACAGCCTCCCTTGGCAGCCTATTCCAGAGCTTAACTACCCTTATAGTCAGAAAGCTTTTCCTAATACCTACCCTCAATTTCCCTTGCTGCAGACTAAGTCCATTACTTCTTGACTTACCTTCAGTGGACATGGAGAAGAATCGATCACAGTCCTCTTTATAACAGCTCTTAACAGATTTGAAGGCTGTTGTTAGGGCCCCCGATCACTCTTCTTTTCTCAAGACTAAAGATGCCCATTTTTTTTAACCTGACCTTATAGGTCATCGATTTCACCTGCAGAATCCCCTACTATTCGTCTTGGGACTCAGCACACCTTAAGAACATAAGAATGGCCATACCTGGTCAGACCAATGGTCCATCTAGCCCAGTATCCTGTCCTCCCACAGTGGCCAGTGCCAGATTCTTCAAAGGCAATGAACAGAACAGGGCAATTATTGAATGATCCATCTCCTATCCTCCAGTCCCAGCTCCTGGCAATCAGTGGTTCAGGGACACCCAGAGCGTGGGGTTGCATCCCTGACGATCTTGGCTAATAGCCATTGATGACCTATCTTCACGAAGTTATCTAATTCTTTTTTGAACCCAGTTATACTTTTAGCCTTCACAACATCCCCTGGCAACAAGTTCCACAGGTTGACTGGGCATAGTGTGAAGAAGTACTTCCTTATGCTAGTATTAAATCTACTGCCTATTAATTTAATGGGTGACCCCAGGCTCCTGTGTCAAATGAAGGGGTAAATAACACTTCCTTATTCACTTTCTCGAAATCACTCATGATTTTATAGACCTCTATCAGATCCCCCCCCCCCACCTCAGTCATCTCTTTTCTAAGCTGAACAGTCCCAGTCTTTAAACTCGCCTCATATGGAAGCTGTTCCATGCCCTTAATCATTTTTGTTACCCTTCTCTGTACCTTTTCCAATTCTAATATAACTTTTTTGAGATGGGGCAACCAGAACTGTATTCAAGATGTGGGCATACCATGTATTTATATGGTGGCATTATATTTTCTGTCTTATTATGTATCCCTTTCTTAATGGTTCCTAACAGTCTGTTAGTTTTTTTGACTACTGCTACATATTGAGCAGATATTTTCAGAGAACTACCCATGATGACTCTAACTTTTTGTCTACATTGCCATTAAAAACCTGCAGCTGGCCCATGCCAGCTGACTTGAGCTTGCAGGGCTCAGGCTAAGGGGCTGTTTAATTGTGGTGCAAACATTCAGGCTCGGGCTGGAGTCTGGGCTCTAGGCTTGTGAGGATCCCAGAAGTGGGGCTTCATCCCAAGCCCGAACATCTAAACCACAATTAAACAGAACTGCAATAGGTGGCGTGGAGGGCTGGGCTGCCTAGTGGTTAGAGCACATGGCTCTCAGCCCCCTGCTTCCCCTCCCTCTTCATCTGGCCCCAGCCCAGGGCCATTTGTACGTCAACCTCTGAACGGGGCAGGGGGTCTCCCAGCAGGGAGTCAAAATCTAGTGCCCCTGGCTACTTCCCACCAATCTGTTCAGTTTGGGATGTGGCCCCTTTAGTCCAATTTGCTGGGCAATTTGCCTCCTGTAGGGTCCTCTCTTGGGTGGCGTCTTGACAGGGTCCTAGGCTCCTTCAGGTGAGGCAGCTGCAATTTAGTGAGTGCGAATCCCACAATGTTTCTGCAATTCGCTCACTCAGTTACCTAAGGTGCTAGAGGCTCCTAGGTCCCCTTTGCAGTCTCCCCAAGCTGGGAAGACAGTGCTTCCTCCCTGTTGGCTGCCTTGGCTGGCAGGCTAGCGCTCCTTCCCCTCAGGGAGGGAGACAGCTAGCTCCTGCCTCTTTTCCAGTCAGCCCCAAACTGAGCCAGGCTCTCTCCTTTTCTCCCGCCTCCAGGCCTGGCATTGGCTGCAGGTATAAGGAGGCTGGGCTAGCTGGGCCCAAAGGCTCCCTTTAGCCTCTGCCATGCTGGCTAGCAGTTTCTCTGCTTCATCATAAAAAAAACGTAGCCCAAGCTCTGAGAACCCGAGTCAGCTGGCAAGGACAAGCCATGCTTGTCTAATCTGCAGTGTAGCCATACCCTGTGATCTCTTTCTTGAGTGGTAACAGCTAATTTAGACCCTATCATTGTGTATGTATAGTTTGGATCATGTTTTCCACTGTGCATTACTTCGCATTTATCAACATTTAATTTCACCTGCCATTTTGTTGCCCAGCCACCCAACTTGGAGTGATCCCTTTGTAAATTTTTGCAGTAAGCTTTGGACTTAACTATATTGAGTACCGTAATTTTGTATCACCTGCAAATTTGACCTCCTCATTGTTCACCTCCTTTTCCAGATCATTTATGAATATGTTGAACAGCATTGGTCCCAGTACAGATTCCTGGGGAAAGAATTATTCCTGTTCTTAAAGTTAGCTGTGTGCTTCAGTACCTTGCTGAATCAGGACCCAACCAGACTCAATTCATTTCTTAGTTCAGGTAGCCAGGGCAGAGGAAACTCATCTGGGAGTGCATAAAGAATTCACCGTGGGAACATCATTATTATTTATTATGTATTATGAGTGCCAACTGTATTCTCAGTCCTGTACAGACAGAAAGGAAGTCACAGTCCCTTCCCCCAGGATCCTGCAATCTAAATAGATAGACAACGGGCTGTAAATCAGTAAGCAGAGCAATAGAACACTTCAAATCATTAACAATTCTGTGACACATCTCCTTCATATAGGTGCACATAACAAAATTCATGTGGTGGGGGTGGAGCCGGGGGGTTCAGAGTGTGGGGCTCGGGGCTGGGGCAGAGGGTTGGGGTGTATAGGTGTGAGGGCTCTGGCTGGGGGTGGAAGCTCTGGGGTAGGGCTAGGGATGAGGGGCTTAGGGCTAGGGCAGAGGGTTGGGGCATGGGGTGGGAAAGGGTTCTGGCTGGGGGTGCAGGCTCTGGGGTAGGGCCAAGGATGAGGGGTTTGCGGTGCAGGAGGGTGCTCCGGGTCTACGGCGGAGAGAGAAGACTCCCCCCAGCTCTCTCTCCCCGCAGCAGCACCTGGGCTGGTGGGGAGAGGCACCTTTCCCACCGCTGTAGGTCTGGGGCTGGGTTCAAGCCAGGGGAGGAGCTCCCCGGCCGCAGCAAGTCTGGCCCGGGGGAAGGGCACCCCAGCCACGGCAGGTTCGGGGCTGAGTTGGGGCTGGAGGAGGGGCGCCCCCACCACGGCCACAGCAGATCCAGGCCAGGGCTGGGTTTGGGCCACCCCTCCCCCAGCTGCGGCAGGTCCGGGCTGGGTTTGGGCCACCTCTCCCCAAGCCATGGCTGGTCCGGGCCTGGGTTCAGGCTGGGGGAGGAGGGCCTCGGCCACGGCAGGTCCGGGGTTGAGTTGGGGCCGGGGGAGGGGCGCCCCTCTCCCGGTCCCAATTCAACCCTGGACCTGCTGTGGCCCAGGCTCCCCTCACTGTTAGAACCCCGCTATTTACCTCTCTCTACTGTGAAAACTGAGCATTTATTCCTACCCTTTGTTTCCTGTCAGTTCCTGTCAGGTTTTGATCCCTGAGAAATTTCTCTCTTTTCCCACGGCTGCTTATTTTGCTTAAGAGTCTTTGGTGAGGGTCCTTGTCAAAGGTTTCTGAAAGCCCAAATACACTAGATCCACGGGATCACATTTGTCCACATGCTTGTCGACACCCTCAAAAATTCTAATAGATTGGTGAGGCATGATTTCCCTTTACAAAATCCTTGTTGACTTTTCCCCAACATATCGTGTTCATCTATGTGTCTGATAATTTTGTTCTTTACTATAATTTTAATCAGTTTGCCAGATACTGAAGTTAGGCTTGCTGGCCTATAATTGCCAAGTTTGCCTCTGGAGCCTTTTTAAAAAATCAGCGTTACATAAGCTATCCTCCAGTCATCTAGTACAGAGGATGATTTAAGCAATAGGTTACGTATGGCACAGTTAGTAGTTCTGGAATTTCATATTTGATTTCCTTCAGAACTCTTGGTTGAATACCCATCTGGTCCTGGTGACTTGTTCCTGTTTAATTTGCCAGTTTGTTCCGAAACCTCCTCTACTGACAACTCAGTCTTCTCAGTCCTGACTAGAGGTAGGAAGGAAATGATTTTCCATCCTTTGGAAATATTTGGGATATCAAAACAATCTTCTGTCCCAAACTAGGATGAAGTTTAAAAATGGTTCAGCTCAATTTAGACCATTTTAATTTTTTTTATTTTATTATAATCAGTTTAAATTTCAAAACCAAAAGTCATTTCAAACCAGAGAAACAAAACTTTTCATTTAAAAAATTGTCAAAACAAAACATTTGCCAGTTTTTTCCCCAACATTTTTTCAAGTAAAAAATGTAGCTAAAGCTGACCCTTGCCCAGAAAAAGTTTAGGTTTTGATAATTCAGCATTTCCCAGTGATAAGAAGTTTCACTCAGAAATTTCCAACTAGTTGTATACCTGACCCACTGCACTTCTTACTATTCCATTCCTCAGAAACCCACCACCCGGCAGCACTTCATTCCATTATAGTCTTTGGTTCCCACACAGTTCTGCCTATGTACCTTAATCCAAACTAGCAGCACTTCTTGCTTTTCCAATTCTGCACCCCCTGACAGCTGTGCCAACATACGTCAATCCCACCGCTGTAGTACCAAGTGCAATTCCAGCCCTAGACCTCCATATAGAAGCCCTCAGTCTAACAATAAAACAGAAATATCTAAGTCAAACATAGGGCACTCCCAATATAGGTTGTGGAACATTATTTACTGAGTAATCCGACTAGTTAGATGCAGCAAGATTATTTAAATTCAGCCAAAAGAGACTTGGACCTACTCTTTTAGAGATATTTAGGCTTATTACTTAAATTAAGAAAAAATAGTCACACAAATTCAGGGAATTCACTTTCTGCTTTATTTATTAAAATGTAATGTTATAGGTCATGTGACCTCAGGCAACAAATAAGCTCCTAGACCCAGAGAGATGTGTAAGGGAATCCCAACACAGTACCGGTGCCAGATGGGGGGTGGGAGGGAACCATGTATTAAGGGGGCAGAGACAGAGTCATCAGGGAAACAGACCTGCCAATCTCTGCATAAACTTTCTGCAAGGCATGTTTTTGACACTGCAGTTTCATCATATTGCCTCTTGCTCTCATATATGGCAACAGGCAGTGGGAGCCCAGAAGGACCAGTGCAGTACAGTGCCATGGCTCCTGGAGCATTAAGATGAGAGGGGGTGGAACTGGCAAGTGAGAAGGAGAGAGAGAGAGATACCTAGAGAGGAGAAAGAACATATATGTATATGTATATGGAATGGAGAAGGGTTGATCATGGTTGACTTGGCCTCATATTCCTATTGTCTCAGGGCCTCCAGAGATGTTGGGCACAGTGAACTCTTCTTATACGGAGTGCAGGTGGCACTGGGCAGAGCCACGGTGTTTTATCTGGTGATTGAGATGGGAGTCAAAGCTCTGTCTTCTCCTCTGGGCTGGGATCTTCTTTCTAAAATACAGTAGGGGCAGGAAAGCTGGGTTGATACCATCATGGTTTTCCGCATGGAGATTAAGGGGGAAGAATGTTTAAATTCCAGCTTCAACAGCCCGTGTTGCCTAATTTCCCCATCCCATTTCAGTAGCCCCTGAGTTACTTTCAGGGGGCATCACAGGCCATGGGGCCTCTGGCACACAAGGGCTCTTAGTACAGCAAGCTAAGCCATTATAAAAGCAATAGAAGCTCAGGACTGAATGAAAATGGAGGTTAATTTTCCCCTCCCTCTGCAAAGGGGTGGTGATTAATCTCAGGTCGATTTGGCCCAACTTTGAGTCCTCTGAGCTGAAAGGTTCTTGGTGAATTTTCATTCTAAAACCACCCTCTGTCCTGATCCCCTTATAGCTATATTCAGGGTCCAAACACATTCACCTCTGCTCCTAATCCCTGCATCTTGATGCAGCCCTACTCTCCATCTCCCCAGGCACTGCTCTGAGGAAGGGAAATGGCTTCCTTAAATGAGACTCTCACACCAGTCCTGAAGTCAGGGAACAGGACACCTTATTGCTCTAGGCTAAAAGGTAAAAGTTGGGGCAGACAGGGGCTCTCCAAACCCAGTCAGCTGTACTATCGCTGAGATCTGATGCCCAAGAGCAATGGAAGAAATGACGCAGGTGAGGTTGCAGAGAGCTAAGATTGTCCTGCTCAGAAGCATGTAAGCAGCAATGCTCTCCCACATCTTGTATACTCACCTTTTGCTTTCTCTCTAAGAAGCCATTGCAGAAGTCTTGCACACGCTCCACTGTGACCTCACCCAGGGGCAGCACATCCTGCTCCTCATCTGGCGTGTGGAATATAGCCAGAGCTGGCAGCTGGGACTTCTTCAGGTTGAAGAATGACATCACACGTTCATTGCCCTTCACATTGCTGTCCACCAGGACAAAAAGAATCTGCATTGGAGAGAGAGCAAACTAGAGACCCTGAGGGACAGCAGACACACATGATCACACAAAGACTTAGTAGGATACCATTGTAATGAACTGTAGATGCTAGACCTCTACAGCCACACTCCTGCCCCTCCAGGGCTTGAGAGTGCTACTACAATCCTGCCTGTGTCTCAGAGAATGTAGCTTTTCCTCCAGTTGCCACAGAAACAACAACCATCTTGCCTCTTTATCCAGCCCTGCATGGAGCGGACTGATGGCAGCACTACAACTTCAAGACAACCTGGAGCTAGCGTACAGTCTGTTCTCTACACCAGATTTATGGCACTTAGACCGTCACAATGTCTAGCATACTGCATGTAATAAATCCTCTTTGTCCTTGGTGTTTTCATGTTTGCTTTCTATAAACGTTTGAGCATTCAAGCTTTACTAGCCTGACTACTCTTGAAAAGTGCGTTTTTAGCTCAAATAGGCACTCAAAAGCTAATTTCAAATTGTGGGCCAAACCTTCAGCTGGTATAAATTAGCACAGCTCCATTGAAATCAATACCAGTTTATACCAGCTGTATAGTCAATTATAAAACTCAAAAATAATGCTCTGCTGGTTAGTTAGAGTATATAACTCGTGTATTGTTATGCTTCCATTCCCTGAACACGTCTCAACTTTCAAACCTGCCTATGTGTGAGACAAGTTATCACTATTGACACAAATGGCCAAAATATATAATGGCTGTGTTTTGTTGAGTGCTGCAACAGAGCTGACACATCGTATTTATTATTAATTATTATTATTATCATCATAAAATGTGTTTTGAAGATTGTTTTCTCACTGTGTGAATCAAAGGAAGCAGTTTTGCAATCACGTCCAGTATGTTTCCACACACCAGACATGCCAAACCCGCGAAAAAAATGCAGAAATTGGGCTTGTTTTTGGCTTAATTGGCTTGTGAGTTGCTTATTGGCTAGTTTTTGGCTTGTAACTTGTTGCTTGTTGTAGATTGTTGCTTCTTTTTTTTTTTTGATCGGCTCCAGGCAACCAGGGGCAAGGGAGAGTAAGGGGAGGCAAGCGGGGGCAAGGGGCGGGGGAGAGAGTCAGGGTGCAAAGTGGGCCCACCACAGTCCCAGACTGCACGCTGGGGGGATCTAGTCACATAGCGTGTTGGGGCTCTTAGGGATTGGCTTGTTTTGACCTTGTTTTGAAATGGGATTAGCTTGATTTTTGGCTTATTGTGAAAGTCGGGGGGCTTATTTACCATGTGAAAGTTGGCAACTGTGCCACCCTCTTGTGCAATAACTACAGAAATATGTGTTCAAATGAGACCAACTTATGTTGCATGGGAAGAACTTGTCTTTTACACTTAACTCCTTACACCTCGATCTTCGTGGACTGGCAAAGCTGAGTTTTCACTATTCTAATCATACTGAAACCGCTTTCAGGGTCAGCATTTGAATGGAGGAGGCAAAGTAAAATGATGAGATGTCTTTTGAAATGAGGCAGTCTTTCAGAT